CTATGCTTTTCTGGGCCATATGAGAGAGTGAATCAGAGTCGGTGAAGGAGACTCGAGTCCAGGCAGAGGAGCAGCACTCTGGAGACGGGTGAAGAAGACAGAAGCACATTATAGAGGGCAGGAGTAGTGTGAATGAGGGCTCCATGCACCACAGCCCACAGCTCTTAACACCGCCTTGAGTGACAGCAAAGACATTATACATTGTTCTTACTACATTCTCCACTTAAGAGTACGAGTTCTTCACAAGGGTGCATGTTATCTCGCCTCATGCTGATTTTATTTATTTTGTTTTCAAATGCAATCAATTAACTTTGTAACTTATCAGCCCACATTTTAGAGCCTGTTTAAGCATGGGAAACATACAGCACTGCTCCATCATAGGGATATTTTGGCATCTGGGAGCCTTCCTTCACCCACACCAAGCCAACAGGGATGTGTCTCCAGGTCTCTTTTAACACTATTATTACTTTTTAAAATCTTTTAAAGCTGCTGTGATTAAGTTTTTATGTGGATGAATATTTCACTGCACACAAGGCATTTGTGATGAAAAAAGAACGAATGAGGAATATGAGGGACAGAAAAAAAGTCATCCCTCTTCCCTTCTCCGGAGTCTCTTATGCTCCGCCACGCTACTCTCTGGTCCGTCGCAATCGAAGGACAGCGTGCGAGTATCCAGTCCCATCATGCAAAGATGTGTCAGTGGAGATGTGCGTCATGGAAGCGCTGATTCATGATGGTTTTGTGTGCGGGGTGAGAATTGCGAGTCATGAGTTGTTACTGTAGGCGCTGTCACACAGTGTTCCTCCCGAGCCCTCCCAATGGATCGGTCCATTGTCTCGTTCTGCAAGTCTCGCAGGACAAAGGTGGAGGAATCCTCAACTCAACCATCATCTCCACAGCGTCTGGCACGAATGTACGCATCAGTGATGTGACGAGGCCTTCACTGACATGCAGGATGCTTCAGCCCAGATCTAATACCACTTAAACACAAAATTAGAGAGTATATGCAGTTTGGCTCAATTGAATCCTTCTATTGATAGTATAGATGTCTATTTTTTTATTGGTGAGTCATGTTTAATATAAAATCACTGTCACAACTTGTTCCTAATTTGTAAATAATAGTAAGTACGCAAATGTTGATGGCTATTTACGTGACAGGACTTAATGCTGATTGTATCCAGACCCATTGCAGACAAAAAACAGATGTTTAGTGGAAAAGAAGCCTAAATGAGAGAAATAGAATCCCAACACAAGTATGATGTGAGGCCATCATATCAGTGGCATCCCTTCAGATAAGCAGTCAGCAGGAAGGGGAGAAAGAGCAGGAAACGCCTCCTCAGCAGCCCTTTTCTCAATTATCTGCTGTTCAGCGAAGGAGTTGACGGATTGTGTTTGGCTGAAAAAAAGAAAAACTCCTTTGTGGACTCATAGTTTAGCTGAAATCGTATGGTCCAGAGAGTCATTAATCCATCTCAGAGTAGCAGCCCATCGAGCTCCTCCAGTGAAATGCGTGATCGAGCAATAGACTGAGCAGCGGCAGAGATAAAGCCGCAGAGCACAGATCTGATTAGGCCGCCGTCTCCGCGCGCTCCACGGGGATTAAGCACAACACTTCCTTGTTAGACCTCCCTACTTTGTTCCGTAAAGCACACTTGCCATTAGCAAAGAGAAAAACAGTAGGAAAAAAAAATGTCTTAACTCCGCTCACTAATTAACACTCTTGCACGGCCACACAATCGTGTTCAAGTATTAATATGCAGTTAATAATGTGCCACTGCTGCTGGATAAATAACATTACATATACATCATGCATTATTCCTTCCGTAATACAAGACCCTTGAAAAGCAGAACAAATGAAGTGCTTATTTATGAGATGTGCATGGCTGCCGTACAAAATGTTCAAATGTTAAAGTCTCTAGCCATATTTGCATGCTTTAAATGTCATTAACATTTTTATATAAGCTTTGCCCTGAAAGATGTCCTGCGTAAGTGTGCGACAAACACACACAGACACACACAGTTTTCCACTAGACAAACTCATTTGTTCTATTTAAGAAATGTTCACAATTTCACAGTTTTTAACTCCTTAAAAGTAAACATGAAGAAAATCCACATTATGTGACAATATGAGTTCATGTGTATTTGAGATGGAGTCAAATGTTCACGCACATTCATACTGAGTATGCTTAGTTTTTTCAATGCCAGTCTTTTACAACTATGGACATTTTCCCAGTGTGTATTCATTGTGCATAATTTAATACAAATTTGCCCGAATGTCAGTGTTATTTTTCAGCTTTTAAAACGTATTAAAACTAACTTTACTAAAATATAATATCTATATATCTGTATAATTTGATGCTTTGTCCATTTGCAGGTTACAACTTTGACAGAACTTGTTAGTAACCTGTTGCCTATTTACATACCAAGCATATAGTCATCCCATGTTCGAGTGCATATATTCACACCATAGTGGCTCCATCCTCAGATTGCTACTGCGAAGATTTTTGATTTGTATTCAGGATATTTCACCACCATGTCTATTTAGTGGGAGGAAGTGGAGACACGTTGTCCATCTTTACATACAGTCTGCAGGTTGCTGCCAAAATCAACTCAATGAAAATGGCGAGTTTGAACAAAAAATCAAAAACATTTGCTGAAATGCACTAAAACGCTCCAAAGAGCTGAGGGTAACTGTGTAAGTGCAGTAATATTTCTCTGTGAGCTCATCCCCACAGACGATGCCTTTCACACTCTCATCATTTGATCTATTGTTAATATACTGATTAAAATAAAAACCTCTATAGCTTTAGGTTCACTCAGGTCAAATTTCAAAATCAGTAGCTCATTGTGCGAGAACAAATGTTCTTGCAGTCCAATCTGCTATTATTTCCAATCTTCTAAACAAATTCCTGTCTAATCATTTCAAGTAGATTGATAGTGTGTGGTGTGGTGTGCTGAGCTCTGCTTTTTTCTTTGAGGGCTAAGACTTCTTCAAGAGGCTTTTTAATTGATGGAATCTGTCCTGTCAGATTTTATGGCTTTTCCATCACTCACTCCTTTTCAGGCTTCACTTTATCTTTTCTCTTCACCCCCAAACACCTTTTTTTTCTCCATCGCTGCCAAATTCTCTTTTTAGACTCGGCTCAACTTGAGCCTCAAAGTAGAGGAAAATCTCCTCCCCTTTCAAAGCAGGAAAATCCTCTTGTCACACATGGAAGAAAGCATGTCGACCTGACAGGCGAATGAGTGATAAGTCCTCATCTGACCATAAAACAGTGGCTTGGGATTTCGAGCCACCTCTGTGATGAACACATGATGATACGGTACAACATATCAGAAAATATAACCTATCTACTGTCACGTCTCCCCTCTCTCAGAGTAGTCGCCTCTATTATTCTCTGTCTTCAAGTTAAGGAAGTATGGCCGCTTCTTGCTGACAATCCTGAGTGGGAACCCTCACCATAATATTCTTATCTTTCAAGAAGAAGCTGTATTTAGTTTCTGAATGAATCATTTTCTTTTCGGGCCTTTGCGCCCTCTGCTCTCTCTTCTTCTCTCTTGTTCCATTTCTATATCTCAGATCTTTTCTCTCAGATCTTTTTTTTTTTGCTTTCCACTCTCTTATCCTCCACTGTCTTTCTTCTCGGCCTCCCCCCCAACCGTCTGACTTCTTCTTCTGGTCCCTTATTGGGGGAGCTTTGCGTACACAGTATAAATAAATAAATTGCAGAGAAATAACCAGGTTAGGGATAATAGTTTGATTCAATCATTTATGCGGTTTACAGTAACTCGACTTCAGCGATAATAGGATTTGTTTGATAATCAGGTTTAACATAGAGGATGTGCTGTGTGGCTACAGGAAACACCTTATTAGTGCTGTGAAAATAATAAATAATAAATGAGTGAGTAGGTGAGTGTACAGAATCAAATCACTGAAGGTAATCAGTCCACGGTGTACACACATACACACACGCCATGTCTCACAGCTCCAGTCTACAATTAAAAAGACTGATGATGAAGCTTGGCCTGGTAATTGGGTTATGCCTTCTCAGATTTACAACATAATTTGATGAACATAACCCCTGCAAGGTGTTTACATGCAAGTTTTAATAATCACAGTACTCCCATAATCCTGCCGTAATCAAATTACATTTGTGCATGTGAGCACTCCGAACACCGTCCCTCCGCTGGCTGCAATGTTTGCTTCCACCTCTCCCTCTACAAGATTTGCCTTCTTCTAATATACCCACTTTTTTCTTTGCAGTTCACAACTGAGAGACAGGAATTTCAATTTCATAGCAAGCCACACTTTTTCTTTTTTGCTTTGCTTCACCCTCCTGTAAAGTGTGAAATCCTGTTTGTTAATTGACTGATTTCAATTCAAATCTCAGAGCGGAATGATTATGCAGTAACTGTGTGTGTGTGTGTGTGTGTGTGTGTGTGTGTGTGTGTGTGTGTGTGTGTGTGTGAGAGAGTGTGTGTGTGTGTGTGTGTGTGTGTGTGACACTGTGTCATCTGTGCATCTGTGTGTAAAAGGAGAGATAAGGAGAGTAGAAAAATGAGAAGAGCCTAGGAGGAGGGAGGAAAAAAAGGGGAACACACACACGGGTGCAAGATTTAAGTCTGTGTTACTGTCACCTCGTTAAATTTGAGAGAGAGAGTATGAGGGTTGTGTGTGTGTGTGTGTGTGTGTGTGTGCGTTTGATAAGTCTCAATAAATCTCTCCTAACTGCGTTCAGTGATCAAACCTGCACTGGTGTGTGTTTGCGCAATGCGTGGCCATACACTCCAAAGTTGCTGCATCCGGCTGTGCTGTCACACAGAGCAGAACGACAATCCTACCAAGCCATAAAACTGAACTCCCAATACTGATGTGATGCAAAATGACAGCGTGATGCACATAATTCTGCAGTGAGACACGCACTGCACTCTCACTGCTCTCATGTAAAACGAGCAATAAATATGCAAACAGTTCACACAATGCATCCGTCCCAAAGTACCTGTAGATGATGCAGGCACAGTCCCTGCAGGTCCCACAGTTCTCAATGTCCTGTCCGGTCCTGTAGGAATGTCTTCTGTTGAAAAGCACAGAGATGACATATCAGGGGTAAAAGAGTGATGTTGTGCGTGTGTGTGCGTGCGTGTGTGTGCATGTGCGTGCACGTGTGTGTGTTGCGTGTGAGCCCACAGAGACATATTTAGGTTATCCTCTCCCTCGTTGGACCAGAATTCCTGGCACACACACACACACACACAGACGTACACACATGCACAGACACACTCATCCGCTGCAAATAAACCAATCTTCTCTCTGAAATCACCCCTGATAATTTTTTAATGAACGATACCCCTTCCAAGCGGCTCTGGCTGTTACGTAAAAGACATGAGTCACCACATCACTTCAGGCATAAAATAAATGCTTATGGGGTAAAAGTTTGAGTCTGCAAACGTTAGACGTCGTCCCATCGCTGTTTTCTTACACCAGAACACGCAAGATATGTCACTTTATGAGACACAAGACAGTGGAGTCTCATGCTCAACGTGAAGAGGTACAGTGTTGGTGTTAGGTTTAGTGTGATTTGGATTAAGCTGCTCAAATTTCAGTCAAGTCTTTCCATGGATTCATAGAAACACATCCATCCGAGTGTGTCGTTTTTCCATCCAAGAGTTTTTCTTGTCCCCCACATCATGTACTATTTTGGTATGATGAGGCAGGAGAAATTACTAAGCAGCTTACAACGTAGGAAGCAGATTGATTAAAGACTTGATGAGAATGGTAAAGGGTTTACACTAAGAGGCGTGGAGCATCTGAATCCACCAACACGATGACAGCCAAACGCTGATTTCTAGCTGATTTCTATCTACACCCGCCCTGCTGCTGCGTAAACATGCACGGTGCACGAGAGGAGAGCTGCTGCAAAGTAGGTGCAAGCAGTCCCTCAAAAGTCTCCCAGTGGTCTGACACGACATAAATTCTTCAGTATATCGAAAGTTGGGACTCACATGACTGACATGAGATTTCATAAAAAATAACTAGCGCATGCCATCTGTCTCGCTTTCAGTTTCTTTTGCTCTTTCCCCCCACTGTTTCGGCCTCCTCCGTCTCTTCTCCCTTCTCTTTGAGTTTGTTTTAGCCAAAATTGTGTCCTGTCCACACGGCTTTGTCCCAACAGTATTTACAATGCTAACAACACTGGGATTGGCTATAAATAGAGAAGCTGCATCACAACAACCTTTTATATGTAATATTCACATGATGCAGGGACGTTATTACTGCTGGGTTGTGGATATTCCCTTTTTTGGGGAAACAATAATCCGACTGAACAGCGACCCACTTGTCTACTCTGTTCCAGGAAAGAGAGAGTCTTTTAATGCAATGCTACGGCCGCATTAACATGTCTGCTCCTAATTTGTTTTGTGTGGGGAGAGTCTGAATCTTACTCAAGAAATTAACTGTCTGGTAATAAAACAGCAGGCTCATAGGGCTACACGCTGACATTTACTTTCCAGGACTGGAAATACCAGGCGCTCATGATTTATGTAGTCCCACTGTTTTGTTCCTATTTATCTATCTATCCATCTATCCATTCACCCATCCATTTATCCATCCATCCATCCATCTATCCAACAGACCAACCGATTACCAGATGGTTTTCATCACCATGCTTGGCCCTGTTCTCGAAGCCCTCTGTTAGTCCTGGGTTTACAGGTCCAATCGCCTGAAGCTTCCAGTCATTTCACATTTGCAACCTCAAATATGGGCTAGCTCCTTTTTTGGCCAAGGGCTTTCACACTACCTTTAAACTCAGGCAAACCCCTTTCAAAACCCTTGATTCAACCCGAGGCAGTGCAATATTTCACACTACTGTTAACACTACCTTTGAGCAACACCTTGGACGCGTGCAGTGCAGGAACAATACTGTGATCCTGGGTAATTTTCGATGTGAAAATCTAAAATTGCACACCTGGGCTAAACTTTGAACCTTTCAAAAGTAAGAGTTAAATTAGCCCCTGGGATAGTCAAAACCAAAGTCAACACTTTTGCAACACACGCCAGAGCATGGTTAGTCCTGAAATTTCAAGTTAGAACGAGAAGCACACAATTAATTTTGAGCAAATTGAGGTTAATGGTCCCCACATCATGTCAGTGAAGACAGCTCTTTCATTGTCCAATCAAAATGGTGTTACATGGTTACTCTGAATCTATATTGTGTGCAGTGAGCCCTCCAAGATTGTGATTTGGGATGTGATTTTTTTTAAGTGTCAGTCCTTAACTGCTTGGAAAGCTTTCTGCATTCAACAACCCAACAGCCTGCTTTGGCTTATTTTTCAGCTGCTGATGAGTTTGAGTAGTAGAGAAGTGAGATCGAAAACACATCAGAAAATACCGAACATTTTTAGAATGCTAAGATGCACTGTTTTGCATTTCTAGAAAGTGTTATTTAGTGACACAGTGTTAGTTACACAGTAGAACTACAGTGGTTGTATGTATTCTCCAGCCCCTTGCAAGATGAGACAACGTATTTTAGCTGGAGCTGTCTTTGTCTCAACTGTGCCAACAAGTGACCTGGTTCAGATGAATGAGTTTTTCATGCAGTTTTTTTGTATGTAGCAACATGACCTTAATGTGATGCAAACCAAGCTAGTATTTCTAGAGAGTTTAGGTTGCCCAGGTTTCACAAAAAGCAAGTTTAAAAAGCCTTCTGAGTCACATTTATAATCTTACAATCATAAGGCAGGTTGGATGTTAAAACCTGAAACAAGGTCTGATCAAGCTCAAATCATTGTTTACTAAAACAAATCTGTGATTTGGAGACAGTGTACAGGCGTCACCTTTTCATTCTTACAATGTTAACTGTCCTACCGAAATGAAATGTTGCCTCACCCATCTCTCTCAGCTTCCTTCTTCTCAAGGTCTTGAATTACATCCAGCAGGACCTTAATGGTGTTCTGGCTGGTCTCCAGGACCCCCTCCAAGCTGTGGAGCTGGGTCTGCAAGCTACGAATATCATGCAGGGGTCCATTGGGGCTCAGTAGCTTTTCTGTCACTCTGGACGGGTCCAGTTTACACCTAGCCCCAGATACCAACCCTCCCAGAATTTCCTGGACCTGTCTTAGTGTGTCAGCTTGGGTGGCAGTCAGGGGCCCTGCTGTAGACTGCTCCCCAGAAGCAGAGCAGCCCCTGGCTCCAGAGCAACCCTGTTGGTTTGGAGGGAGAGGGTGCTGGCTGTTGGGAGTGTTGGGCCTGACGTTGGCTCCTGAGCAGAGCATTTTGTGTAGTGCCCCAAGCTGAGCCTGGGCTGAGCTGAGACAGCTGGGTTTAAAACAGGCCTTGGCAGGAGAGGATGAGGAGGACTGCTTCTCTCCCTTCATCACAGCAACTGGCGGAGTTTGAGCTCTGTGCTTCAGAGAGCTGGCTCGCTCACAGAGCTTGGGTGAGTCTGTACATTTTTTATCCTCCTTTTTCTCCTTCCCACTGTCTTTATCTTTCACATTGGCCTTGCTGTCTGCCCTGAGCATGGGTGTTCGGATACCAGGACCTGGTGGATCATTTCCCTTTTTACGAGGCGTGTAGGGTGGAGGTGGTGGGGGAGGAGGGGGAAGTCGAATGCCCCTTTTATCCTGAGCATTGTTGGGGGCCTGAGAGGGGGGGGTGTACGGTGGTGCAGCACGAAATGTGGAAGAGTACAGAGGAACAGCTTTAGTTGGTGTTGCACATGGTTGTGCATTTGGAAGAGTGGATGCATATGTTTTTACAAGTGGAGGTGGAGAAGTGCACGATTTTAGGTTGGGCATGGGAGAAGAGTAGGGGGTTATGCCTGTGTTGACTGAGGAAGCATTTTGCAGAGCTTGACATGGTATATTGCAATGAGATACAGTTTGTATGAGAGTCGCATAAGAAGGTGATGTAGAATTTGGGTGAGGGGCATGAGGACCACCTGGATGTGTGGTAGTGTAATATGATATGGAGGTGCAAGACATAGCAGTTTGGGTTACAAATGTACAGGGTGTTAAATTAGCAGGGGTTGTTGTGTTTGATGAATTGTGTGGTGCTTGATGTGTTAAGTTTGGAGCAGTGGTTAGATGTCTGGTAGGGTCAAAGGGAGTACTGTTCTGGGTTGTACTTGGGGTAAGGGTGGAGCAGGTTAAGGAAGCAGCTGATACTATTGGGACAGGAGAGGTGCACTTTTGAGGGGGGCATGGTGGAGCAGTTGAGGAAGGACTGGAGCTTACAACAGGAGTGCTAGGGGTTGTTGGTGTTGACACGACTGTATGATAGGGGATTGGGTTTTGAATAATAGTCGGGTTGGAAGTGGAGTGAGGAATGGACAGTGCTATGGGCAGAGATGGGGTCGTGCAAACTGGCTTGGCTGGAGGGGAGCATGGTGGCATGGCCTGGTGTTCAGGAGTCTGTGTTGGTGCACTTGGAGGTGGGGGAGAGGTAGAGTAAGGCACAGTAGTTATTTGGGTTGTGGGAGGGTCTTGAGTCACAGTTGGGGATACAAGACTCTCAGATAGAATTTGCACTGAGCTGGGTGATACTGTCGGAGGAGGGGATGTAGGAGGGCTGTGAGTTTGTGTCTGGGTAGTGGAGGGTTGATTATTTTCAATAGAGTGACGGGGAGAGTCTGTTTGTATTTGAGTGGTACACAGCTCAACATTGGCAGGTAGGGCCAGACAAGTGTTACTAATTTGATTTTGGTTTGTGCATTGTTTGTCACTCAAAGGTAGAGACTTGTGGTGACTGTCAGTTTGACTTTGGGCCGTGGAATACTTTGATTTTTGAGGTGAGGGAGGGCTCTCAGTTTGAACTTGAGTGGTGCAGAGTTTGGTATTTGAAAGAGACAGAGATGGAGTAGGGCTTTCAGTCTGAGTGGGAATGGTACAGAAGTGCACCTCCTTTCCAGGATCACTCGTTGTCCGATTTAGCCGCTTTCTCCTCCTGACCACTGACGGAGTGCTGCTTCCTTGCCGCTTTGGGCCATCGCGGAGGGACACAGAGGAACAGTGACATGGCTCAGTGCTATGAAAGACTGAAGGGGGACAGCTGTGCCTTGAGTTTTTAACCACACTAACAGCTGATTTAATGTCTGTCCTGGAGGCTTTAGACCTCCGTTCCACAACAGTTCTATCACCAGGCCCAGGAGGACCATTCAGGTCTCTGGACCCAGGCACATGGTTGTGCGTATGATACTCATCTTGAGAGTCATGTTCGTCATCCCCATCTACGCCAACCGAGTCCCCGAGGCTGTGGCTACGTGTGTTGGTGGAAGAGAGGGACTGTGGCTTTTTCAGGCATGGGGAGGTCTGGATGGCTGTGCTGGTGCTTGTACTGGACCTGCGAGTCATTGGCAAGGTTAATGAGTTAGTCTGTGGTGGTGCCCAGCATCGACGTGTAGGGCCCGGCGTCAGTGGATGAGGAGGGGCCCTGGCTAAAAAAGCAGCCACCACTTCTATAGTACTTGCCATGTCCCCACGCACAGCCCCAACCACAGAGGTTTGGCCAGGTAGGCCACCAGTCCGTGGCCCATCCCTGTCGGTCCATGGCTGTGGGGATCTGCTGCTGTGTTTACGAAGAGGATGTGGGCTGTCACAGTCTGCGGCAGGCTTTTGATGGCTATTGTTTTCTCCTGTTCCACTGTTGCCACTGCTGCTGCTGCCATCCTCCAGATCTTTGAAGCGGACCTGGTGGGTACGGTTGCGACGCCGCTTCAGGCGGCTCTCAATATCTGGGGAGTCTCGATTGAGCAGTACTGAGCGCACAGTCATCGTCCCAGGTAGCTTGTCTGCCAAGGTGCTCTTGCCATTGGTTTGGGCTCTAAGCAGGTGGTTTGGCTCTTTGCTCACCATTTCTCAACATCCACAGGCTCTGCAGGTTGTTTGATTTTCTGAAAGCCTAGCTGTGGTAGTGCATCAACAAGGAAAGTGACCTCTCCTTTAATATATGTTTATTATAACATTGAGCGATCTGTACAATTGATTGACTGAGTTTCAGTTTCATCACGGAGCAGACTGGTAATACAGCTGTCTCTTTCTACGTCTGTATGCAGCTGCTCAGGTTATCGCCAATCTTTACACCAAAAATGTTTTTGCGACTCAGATTGTCCTCAAGAAAGGATGGATATCCATATTCACAGTTCACATTGTAGTAATATTAAGCGCAACAAGTAAAAAAATGAGTCTTTGTGATAAATGATAACCCAAAGACCTATATAGGCCTTTGCTCTTCAAGTCATCCAAAAATAAATATATGCAGCATCAAATATTCATTCAAATCAGCACATGAGAATTGTCCATACTGTTCCATGTCCTCTGAAGCTGTACACTTTTATTCCCATTTCTCTTGAACTTTGCAGGGAGGTGAAATCTTGACTAGGCCAAAGAAGTTACTGGAAAATGAGCATGGAGGAAAGGAACGCAACCTGGCCATCCTTTCTGTGTCCATCACATCAGCTTGTCTAATTGGTGGCCCTTCCTTGTCTTCTTGCTTTGTCTCTTGGGCCCTCAGGAGATTGGATGACCAAGGTATGTGATGGGGCTGCGTGATTCCCCATAATGGCCTGTCTCTTATACCTTTTTTTGTCCTTCTTCCCTTCCTTCTGATTCTTTCTTTCGGAGGTCTTCTCTCAGTGACTCATTCCATCATGACTGAAGACACAGTGAGCTCCTGTAGACAGCTGAAAGACAGAAGGAAATAAAGAGGTGTAAGACAAAAAAATGTTCCGCATATTCTTGCATTTCTAATGAAACATAATGTGTTTGTTTCTCAGGATTATGAAGAAGATATAAGATAGGCAGCTGTTAAAAATGCATGAGAGAGGGGTCAACACAGAACTGAAAACGAAGACATCAATTTTGGAAAGATTAATGAAAGGAAGGCAGTGGTGAAAGAAAAACAGCGAAGAAAACACTAAGTATATCATCAGCAACACAGAAATATCCATCCAAAACAAGAGCAAAGAGATTGTAATTAAGACCCATTCACACTGGCTGAAGGCGATACTCAAGTTTTTTTCAAGTGGGTATTACCAACACTATTATTAAAAGTAGCTGTACTGTAGTAGCGGCACACATAGCAGCACTGGTGGTTTTCAGTATTATTCCAGCTCATGGACACAGTGTGACTCGTATTTTATTCCTCATATGTGTGTCTCACTGAATTTCCTTTTCCTCCATGTTTAACAGTCTGCGGCCCTGTTATCATTCCTTGATGATCTGCCATGGTGACATCCATTCTGATTCATCTGGTCACTGTGTGACAGTCTGTCCGCCATGCTGTAGTTAGTAGTATGTTCTCGTCACTCCGATTCTGCGCCCTGTTTTTGACAAACTATGGCCTTAATACGTATATATATCACTTCCATTTCCTGTCTGGCATGGACAGTCAGTCTGGCAGTCAGGCGTGATGCTGTCATTTGCCTTACACGATCTATGGATCTGTGCCTTGTTATCTCCTTGTGATAGCCTCTGACACTGACAGGCCCGGGCTAATTCTGTGCGGGAGTGTGACTGGCCGTTACTCTGCTGCCCCCAACCCCCTCTCTTTATTCAGTGGGAGGGGTAATTAGTGACTCCTTCACAGCTCCCAGGTTATTTAGGGAGAGAGAAACCCGAGGGGCTGCCACTTTTATTTACATCCACTGTTTTCTCTGTTTCTCTCTCCAGCTCTGAAGAGGAAGATCTTTGTCACAACCG